CATACATACATACATACATACATACATACATACATACATACATACATACATACATACACATACACATACACATATACATATACAAATGCAACACAAAAATGGTTTTCTGCCTGGAAGGCTCCTAGGGTGGAGCTGAAAGGCAAAAAAGCAGCAGTATGCTCCCTCCCTATTTGGGCATACCAGGTGCTTGACATAATGCTTAATAAGTAAATAAATATAAATATAAATATACACATACACACACACATACCAGATGACTGCTGATTTTAGATTCCCTTTACAACAGTTCCAAAGTGTGTTGAGCGAAAGATTAAATAGTATGACTATTAAATAGTATAAAACAAGCAAATATGTTATGAATTAGCTGCTGAGATGCGAAATCCAATACATATATTGTAAAAGGAGAGCAGCAAAGAAGAAGAGTTATTCCTTGTTCGTAAGACAATGAAAGTGAGGTCCTCAGTGGATTAGTAAAGAGTGCTCCTGAAAGAAAAAAATACTAAAGCCTAAAACTCCCCCAAATAAATGTCAGGCAATTAAGAAATACCATTTGATCTGTCTGAGAGGCATATATCCGATCTAGGATGCCTTGTACCACGTCCAACTTGGAATGAAGCTCTGCAATGCGCCTTTCTACTCTTTTTCTGGACTTCAAAGATCTCATGGCCTAAGAGCAGAAAAAGCAGACTTTATTCAAAAGATAGGAAAAAACCAGGAAGACGAGACTGGGCAAAGTGGTGCTGGGTTGGTCAGATAAGAGACAGCATAGCCTACACCTGCATAATGGGCAGGAGGCTAAGCTATTGGGCTGTAAAGGTGACAGTGAGAGGAACATGACTTTGCACTTGCAAGGTTCTGTTAATGTAGCTTTGCAATCAAGTAGAACTAGTTTATTTAACCCTGTTTCCTGTAGGATCCACCAGGTGGGTCTGACAAAAACTGACCGGAACTCACCCACTGTATTAACAGACTCTAAAAATTCATGACCAGAATTTTGGAAATCTGCAATGGGGCAGTTCGGAGATGAACATACTGATTGGGGCACCATGTACCTGACTTCCGTCAGTACCTACCTGCTGCTTCTTCCCAGCTTTGCAGGCACTCCGAGCACCCTCTTTATATCTGAAAAAGCAAGAGATGAGCTTGTCCATTATTCAGACTAGAAATAGCTACAATCCCATTATTCCCTCTGTACCTTCGACCCAGCTCACTATAACTAGAAGGCAATTACAAATAGGCTCCCCACACACAGAGACTTCTTTTGGCATCTCTGTGTTATTCAATTATTATTCAATAAGGGTGGCTCAGTGGCTGAGCTTGTCAATCAGAAAGGTTGTCAGTTTGGCAGTTCAAATTCCTAGTGCCATGTAACGGAGTGANAGAGAGAATGAGAGAGAATGAGAGAGAGAGAATGAGAGAGAGAATAAGAGAGAATGAGAGAAAGAAAGAGAGAATGAGAGAGAATAAGAGAGAATGAGAGAGAGAGAGAATGAGAAAGAATGAGAGAGAGAATGAGAGTGAGAATGAAAGAGAGAGAGAGAGAATGAGAGAGAGAGAGAATGAGAGAGAATGAGAGAGAGAATGAGAGAGAGAAAGACAGAGACAGAGAGAGAGAATCGGATCCAACCTCGGAGAGTTACCATATACCAGGACTGGCGGTGGTGTGCTCTCTCTGTTTCACACACCCACAGAGCTTTGCTCTTTCGCACTCTCTCCCTTCCTTCCTTGCACTGTGAGTTTTGCATGGAGGAGCAGACCACTTCCTGCAAGGTTGGCCTCGGCACCCGCTTCAGATGGCAAACATAAGAGCTTTGCTCTTTTTCTCCAGAGCCTTTGAAATCCACACACACCCCTCTCTTTTCTGCCATAAAATTCTGGGCTCTGGCAGAATTCCCGGCACAGTCCCCAGGGAGGGAGAAGCGGCGAGAGAGGAATGGGGAACAAACGTAAAGGACGCCCGGACTCGCAGCCCTTTGTTTTGTTTGCACGCTGTGTCTCCTGAGAGGCCCCAGAGCGAAACCGTCTACCAGGAGGGCGAAGAGCAGTCAGCTGTTAGGCAGATAGCCAGCAGCAAGGTCTGCAAACAGGGCAGGCGAAGGCCAGGGTGCAAGGAGAATTTGGGTCATTGTGGCCTCAGGCAAGCAGGGGGTGGGACGGAGATGGTGGGGCCGGTGGGCTTGCTGCCTCCTGCAACTGAAAAATAAGACCTCCCCAAAAATAAGGCCAAGCGCCCTTATTTCAGGGGTCAATAGAAAATAAGACACCGTCTTATTTTCAGGGAAACACAGTAGATTAAGAGGAAAATGTGTAACTGACCAGATACTTTTAGTCAAGAGTTCAAGAGTTCTTAAGCATTACAACTGGAAACAGGACATATGCCTATAACCTACAGTGGAAGCTATAAAAAAAATATGTTACTGGCAGAATTAATTTCGTTCTTTAACAAATATGTTTTAAATGCTGTAGAACAATGTTTTTCAAATTTGCAACTTTAAGACCCTAAAGTTGCCAAGTTTGAAAAGCACCATACAGAGAAGCAATTGTAACTTTAGGAAAACCGCATTTCCCATGTGTGGCTGTTACGCAGAAAGATGAATCAGCAGGAAGCAAGTTTTGACTTACCCGAGCCGTTGATTGCCACCCCGGCTAAGGTCTGAGCTACTTCATCCTGGGTATCGCAGAGCTGTGGGAGAAGTAAAAATTTTAATTACAGATATGTGATATTACAAGTGTGAATAAGGTTCTGGATGACAACATTTTCAATATTAAGCAAACATCAAGAACACAGGGGCATAACCTCAAATGGACAGAGGGAAAATACTGTCATGCTAAAAAGTATTATTTCACAGAAAGAGCAATGGAAGCTGGGAACCAACTTATAGCAGAGTTGGTGGGTGAACCATCAATACTGAGTTTAAACATACTTGGGATAAACACGTCCATCATCTGACAAAAACTAATTAAATAAATGTAAAAATAAAGAACCTCAAAGGGCAGATGGATTGCTATATTTTTTTCTGCTGTCAGTTTTCTGTTTCTATAGGTTTTTATCTTACCCATATATGTCACCTTTGCGTGAGCAGCAGAGGTAGTCCTTGGCTTATGACCACATTTTAAGCCCAAAATTTCTGTTATTAAGTGAGACACTTGTTAAGTGAGTTTTGCCTCCCATTTTATGATCTTTCTTGCCACCGTTAAGTGAATCACTGTAATTGATAAGTTAGTAACCCGGCTGTTAAGTGAATCTGGCTTCCCCGTTGACTTTGCTTGTCAGAGGGTTGCAAAAGGGGATCGCATGACCTTGGGACACAGCAACGGTCATAAGTATGAACCATTTACCAAACGTTTGAATTTTGCTCACAAAATCGTGGGGATGCTGCAAAGGTTGTAATTCTGAAAAAAGGTCGTAAGCCACTTTTTCGGTGCCATTATAACGGACCCTAAATGAACTGTTGTAAATCGAGGACTACCTGTACCCACTTCTAACATACCTCTTGAATCTGATCCACGAGACTCTCTGCCTTTTCCACAGTTACATCTTTCATGGACAACTTCAGAGCTCCTAGTCCAGCCTGATAAGCATTAAATACCTTTGGGAAAAGAGAGAAATCACACTTATTTTTTTATAGTACTAGCCGATAACCTGGTGTTGCCCAGGTATTTATTTATAGAAGGAAAATGTCTGGACCAAACGTAATTTCTAATGTTGGATTTTCCCCCTTACCAGAGGGAGCCCCCTTGTGGAGTACTGTGAAGCCATGGCAACTCCACTGCACTGTACAATAGAAGCCATTTTACGCAGTACAGTAAAAGCCATTTTAAGGCACAACAGCTGCATCTTAACAGAACATATACCAGAAGGGGTGTCTTACCCCCACAGTGTTTGTTTCCAGAGAGTAAGTCATCTGTGTACCAAGTTTGGTTGAAATTGCTTGAGGCATTCTAGAGTTATGCTGGAACATACACAAATTCACAGGTGTGTGTGTGTGTGTGTATACATACATACATACATACATACATACATACATACATACATACATACATACATACACATACACATACACATATACATATACAAATGCAACACA